CCAATATTTGGCTACAAATGGGAGCCCCTGAACATAGCCATTCCTTCTAACTTCTGGAAGGGAGGTTTCACATAGGCCTTGGTGCCAAGTTGCACCAAAGCTCATGGTTCTCCTGTGGACTCCCTGTGCCTAAAGAAGTGTTTCTGCCCGCAACAGCAGTCTTCTCCCTCCCCTAGCTCCTGATAGCCAGTGAAAAGACTAGTGTAATCTGACTTGTTCCTGGAAGCCAGGATATAGTGATAGAGAATGCAGGCCTCTTTATCTCTATACAGAATATCACCTCCCACTGCCAGCCTTTGAGCACCCAGGAGCCTGTGTTCTTTTTTTTTTTTTTTAAAGATTTTATTTATTTATTTGAGAGAGAGAGAGAATGAGAGATAGAAAGCACGAGAGGGAAGAGGGTCAGAGGGAGAAGCAGACTCCCCGCTGAGCAGGGAGCCCGATGCGGGACTCGATCCCGGGACTCCAGGATCATGACCTGAGCCGAAGGCAGTCGCTTAACCGACTGAGCCACCCAGGCGCCCCAGGAGCCTGTGTTCTGAACAAGTACCTGTCAGCAGACCTCAACAGCAGTGTCTCGAGTGTTTGTATTTGTTCTTGTTCTCAGCCACGTGGGGAATATGTTTTATACATCCATGGTGGGGCTGGGAGGGGAGAGTCTAAATAGGATAACCGTGAATGCATTCTGAAAATGGAGTATTTCCAAGCATTTTTAAAATACATGCATCCATTATGGTGCTAAATTTCAGGCCTTACTTTACCAAACAGAAACAGAAGTTCCCTATAGCGTTTACGTGAAGTGCAGGATTAAAGTATGGGCATTGTCTGTCTCTCCCCCAAGATGTCACTGACCCTACACAACAGAAAAGAGAACACTGAACTGTGCCCTTCCATGACGTTCCATCTGCCTCTTTCTCCCCTGAGATGCAGAACATTTCTGGGAAAACAGCCTAATCAGATTGATTTTTTTTAACTCAAGCCTAAATGGTGAAACTTAGCAAAGTATATAGATCAGAATGGTATCTCTTTTCTCTGACAGCTCCTCTTTGTCTAGACTGAAATGACCATATTCTGTCTCTGCTGGTTCTGGGCCATGGAGGGTGTGGCAGAGACAGAAGATGCGCTCCAGCTCCTCTGTGTCTCCCAGGCCCAGGCTGAGGGGCTGGGCAGGATCACAGCCCCAGGCAGTCCAGTGCTTATGGTGTCAGGCCAGGCACCTGCCAGTCTCTGCCCACATAGGACCTCCTCACTGCCACGTTCCTCCTAGCCCTGTGTCACCACCAAGGCAGGAAGCGGTGCTGGGTTGTAAGCTGTCCATCGACTGCTGGGTACTCCTGGTTCCTCTATAAACTAGAATCTTCTCAGCTTGACTTAGCTACTACAGTTCACAGGATAGCAAAGCATAGTGTATAGTTTCCATGAAACAGTTGTGAGTGTCCTTGTGCACGCTGCCAGAGGGTGGGCTGTGGAAATGTGGGCTGTTCCTGGCCCTTTGTAGTTGGTGTGAGGGTGACTCCTGGGGCAGGCGGGAAGGAAGGAACAGAGCAAAGAAGCAGCAGGGTGTTCTACTCTGTTCACTCTGATTTCAAAAGGCCCTTTGGTAAAATCTCATGAATTGGGCCAGGAGATGTTGATTGGTTAGGTCCACTGGGGCTTTGGGTGTCTGGTGATTATGAGGACAATGAAACATGTACTGTAGGTGACTTGACTTTATATGAAAAGCTACCTTGGGGCTTGGGATCATCCCCCATTTCAGCTCTTATCCTCCCTTGATACTCTGCATGGCCTTGGGAAAACAGCTTTTCCACTACTGGCTCTGAGTAAATGGAACCTCCCCCCTCCGCCACTTCCTTTCATTCATTCAGTGAGTTGCCTGTTTAACAAGAGCCAGGCCCAGGGGGTAAAATGACAAGTAAAACATGCTTTCTTCCAACCCTCATGGTTCTTACAGTGGTGATTCTCCCACATACACTCTCTTTGGCCTGAAAGACGGATCCCTAGCCAGGTGGAACCATTCCAGGGATAAGGACCCATCTTCCCCTCCATGTAGGAAAAAGTTTTCTCACTTTGAGCACCTTACTTTTTTTTAAGATTTATTTATTTATTTATTTGAGAGAAAGCATGAGCAGGGGGAGGGGCAGAGGGAGAGAGAGAATCTCAAGCAGACTCCCTGCTGAGCACGGAGCCAGACACGGGGCTCCATCTCAGGACCTTGAGATCATGACCTGAGCCAAAATTAAGAGTTGGACACCCAACTGACTGAGCCACCCAGGTGCCCCTGAGCACCCTATTTTTCTCCTATAAATATAGAATAGGACAAGGAAGGCACATCAGCAGATATGTAAGGAGTGCCCGCTCTTTGCCCAGCTGGGAGGCTTCTGTGATCTGAGTAATCCAGGCTTTGGGACCTTTGCACTGATGTGTCATTCAGTGCAGCCGGGGGTGGGGGAGCAGCTTGGCCTGGAAGGGAAGAGCTGTCGGCAAATATCCCTAAGCCTTTCGTGAGGAAGAGGAGGTGCTCTAGGGGAATAACCAGACCAATGGGTTGAAGTTGGATAAAAAAAGATTCGAATGTATAAAAAGACAGATGTTATAAATTGGTGCTTTCTGCAGATAGGGCGAACTGATGGGGAGAGTTAGCAAGCGCCCCATCTCTGGAAGACCTTTAGCAGAATTGGACATGGGGTTGGAGTTGGGATTATATGACCTGTGGGGTCCCTGCTGCGAACTCAAGATTTTGTGCCTGGAAGAACTGTCAAGAGAGAACTAGGAGGATTTGTCCTACAGGTACACTTGTACACGTGTGCAAACATGGCTGTAGAACAGTGTTCGTCATGGCGCTATTGAGAATGCGAAAAGATTGGAAACTACACACGTGCCCACCAGGGGATTGGTTAAATAAATAGCCACACACTGGATGACACACCTCATCCATTTAAAAAAAAGAAAAAAAAGAATGTTCTTATGAACTGTGGAAAGAACTCCAAGATATATTATTAAATAGAGAAAGCAAGATGCAGAACAGCATATATAGACTGCCTCTGTCAGTATGGGGGTAGGATATCTTCAGATGTTTGCTCACATGGGACTGCAACCCATCTAGAAGCATACTTGAGAAACTGGTTATACTGGTTGCCTGCAGACAGGCGAGCTAGACAGCTGGGAGACGGAGATTTTCCTCTGAATAACCTTTGTACTCTTTGAACCTTGAATCATGGAGATGTAGGACTTGTCAGAAAACACAAGTAAGAATATTTTTTTTTAACTTTAAAAATAACGGGGTTTTACTAGTTGGAGCTCTGAGGCAAACAGAGGGGAAGTGGAAAGCAAACGAGCCTTTGACTGGGCACCTGCTGTGAGCCAGGTCTTTGGCCGGATGCTTGATGGACTGGCTACTTTCAATCCACACAACAGCTCTTTATTATAGGAGGCAAGACGCACTCCCATTTTTGTAGATTTAACACTGAGGCTGGGAAAGGATGGAAGTGCTTGCCTGTCCGCTTGGGTGGGCACTATACCAGGCTGCCTGTTGAAGGAGGCAACTCTTGGAATGGGGCAAGGCGGGGGGCGGGGAGTGTGGAAGCCAAAGAAAGTGATGCGCTAGGAAGGGAAGGAGAAAGGCATTTTCTTCAAGGGGCGGGACAGACCTGCTGTAGCGTTGCCCACTTCTATGCTGGCCTCTCCGCCGTGGGACCAGTAAGCAGAGGCACACCTCCACTTACGCCACAGGTCAGCTGTGTTGTGTTTCTCTTGGCTTTTGCTGAGCTCAGGGATGGAGTTCCCAGTACGTGTTCACAGGCAGTCAGGTGACTGCTGGAGCCGGCAGGCATTTCTGTGGCCAGAGGAAAATAGCCACAGCTCCTGGCTGCAAAGGGAAGGATGTGTTCTTCTGCTGGGTGTCAAATGCGCCATCTTTGTCTGCCAGCTGGAGACTGGATGGAAAGTTGGTGGTGGTGGTTTTTTGTGTTTGTTTGTTTGTTTGTTTGTTTGTTTGTTTGTTTTTTGATTGTCAGACCCAGGCTCCTCACTTGCACTTAGAGGAAAACGCACCCAAGCTCTGGTACAAAAGATTCTCTTTCCTTTCTTTTTTTTTGGAATAAGAGCCATGAATGAGCTCATTATCGCTGCAACCCAAAAGAGGAGGAGGAGAGGAAGAGAAAAGAGAAAGTGGCCTCCTCCTTACTGCCCTGCCCCTGGCCAGGTTTCCTGGAGTTGGGGGCTTGGCTCTGGCTCAGGGTGACCAAAGCCAGATGGCTGGAACAGGTGGTCCATACAGAGGGCAGTGCTGGAGACATTGGTTGCTTCGAGACCAGCTTGCTCTGCTACGATCCGGAGGAAGGATATGTTTCTGTACCTTCAGGGAGCAAAATATTCTCTGATCAGAGTTATATGCCTGCCTCACTTTGACTTCTACGAGGCTCCCATGTTCAGGTTCTCTGCTTGTCTCAGCTCTCAAAATTGTCCTCAGCCCTCAGAGCTGGCAGCCAGGCAATATTAATTATCTGTTGAATGCTAGCATTTGCCAGGCACTGCTCTAGGCACTTGGGGTGTCGCATGTAACCAAGTTGGCCAAGTCTCTGCTCTCATGGAATTTAAATTCTGGTGTGAGCAGTGAAATGTGCCAGGCCTGGCCTGCTGTTGCCCCCTGTGCCCCGTTTCTGCTGAGCTGGGGGAACTGCCGCAGGGAGCGATACATAAATGCCTCGGAAGGAAGATTAGCCGGCATTTCCAGCAGCTGAGCTCAGGTTGTTTCCCACTCCCTCTCCTCGGAGCCTGTCTTTTGCCCCCATTAGGCTGTGGTCACAGAAAGGCCTTTCTTGATCTGAGCGGCAAAGAGTTCTGATCCGTCGCAGGTTGGTGCTGGACCTTGGAATTATCTGGAAGAGACCTGGAGGGCCTCCCCCACCCTCGCACCCCGCCGTGGGTGCTGATGGTGAGCTGGCAATGTTTAACCTGAGCCTGACAACCTCTCCTTTTTGTTCCTCTTTCTTCTGTTCCAGATTGAGAAAATCATGAGCTCTATTGGCGAAGGGATTGACTTTTCTCAGGAACAGCAGAAGATCTCAGGTATCGTACCAAGCAGCCATTTTCTCTGTGGAACACAGACCTTTGGCTCCTTTCTGGCTCAGGTTTTTTTTCCTCTGACCCAGAAGACAGACATGTGGTGGGTGAGAAAGGTCAGCCTCAGCCCGCACTATGCTCCTGCAGTTCAGAACCTCACATATCTGTATGGCCCACCGAGCTGTTATTTTAGAGTTACGACACTTTTGACAGATCGGAGGGGAGTTGCATTTTAGGCCCACCTATTAGGAAGGTTTTGTTGTTTTTTTTTTTAAAGTTAATGGTTGTCACTTATCTGTAATTATGTCTGTAAACATAGGCTTTCTCGATCGGCTTAAATTGGAGTGCACATCAGCGTTGGTCTGTCCAGCTTCCCAGACAGCTCTGGCACTAGCCCTTTGTGAGAAAGTAGCTTGCGTTTGCCTGCTCCATGCCAGTGGCAGAGCATTGGCTCAGATCAGTAGGGTCAGACTGTTAGCCTGCATCACCTGGAGGGGGTGGCTTTGCTGCCCCTCCTTATGTCTTTTTCTGCATTTTTCCATTTACCTAGTCACTCATCATTTTTACTCCAGATCACTGCCACTCTGGGCATGCTTTTCTTTTCAAAGCCTAAGGGTGAGGTCGGCCTCAGTTTCCTTTGTTTGAAGTGGGCACCTAGAGAGGCCGTATCTGAGCTGTTTTTCTTGATAATAGAATTGTGGTTGTATTACTTTTCTCAGCCGAGGTGACATTTCTAAAGGTGTCTCTTTGCCAGAGCAAGTCTCATACCCCTTCCCCCAAGCATCTGTAGACCCCCTGCCACCAGAACTCCCAGGCTGAGAGCAGCTCCGTGGGGCTTGGCCTCTTCCTGTCGTTGAGAAATGCCTCTCTAACTGAAGGGGTGGGATTCCCTGCTCATTCAGGAGGCTCCAGCCTGGATTGGCCTCCTAGCCCAAGTGACACCTCTAGTTGCAGCTCAGGGAGAAAGGAGCTGCTGAGGCCGAGGTGCTTATGGAAGGAGTATGGGCTCTGAAGCCTCAGCCCTGGGTTCAAATTCTGCTTCTGGATACTTACAGGTCTTGGGTGAGTCACTTAATCTCTCTGAGCCCGCAATTCCCGAGCTACAACATTTGGTAATAGTACCTACCTTATAGGTTTGTTGGGAATGAGTACTAGATACAAAACTTGAGCAAAAGAGGTAAGTGGTAGCTCTGCTCATCTTTTGTCCATGAAATAATTACTTAGTCATATTGAAAAACCTAGAGAAGAGGAACATCTGCTCCCCTGGCTTGTCTCCCTCCACCACTTTTCCAGCTGGGGTCCTGGAGCCTCCTCCCTCCAGCAACCTTGTTTCCCTGGCTCCTAGCAGAGAGGGCCCAGCCCAGTTTGGTCCATCTCTTTCAGTCTTGGATCATGCTGGGATCTGTAGAGGTGGCTCTTCTGGCTAAGAGTTTGTGGCTCTGTTTCCATGTGCTGACTCCACACTCAGATAAACAATCTCACACTCTGTTGTGTAGGGCTTTATCAAGAGTCAAGTGTTTGATGGCAATAGATGCTCAATACCGAGACAAACACCATTGCTAGTTTTCAGAGCTGTGCTTTGGGTCAGCCAGGAATGGGATCGATAGTCAGTTCAGTTGAAGCTGCTTTCTGCTTCCCTGTACCCCTCTATGTCCAAGGAGCGCATGTGCTTGAGAGTTTGGGTCAGAGCAGGCCATTACCTCTCAACTTTGGTAAATTAGGAGATGTGGCAGCACCTCTGGAAAACACATTTCTGGAAGAGCCCTTCTCCTTCAGGGTGGTGACACTGAGCTCTTTCCTTGCCCTGTGGGTCCTACCCACCAGTTCTTACCCCCACAGACTGGATCCCAGCGTACAGCCCTGTGTTAGCACCGCTGAGTTGAGCCATCCTCCATACAGCAGCTTAGGAGAGTCCAGGGTGGGCACACGAGAACGGCCACCCGAACAGAGGGTGCGTCCACCCGTGCCACAGAGAGACCCAGCCCCCTGTGTCTGGACTGCTGCCAGTCCAGGAAGCATGGAGGGAGTAGACTCAGCTCTGCCCCTGAACTCTGTCTTCCACCCGATGGGTCAGGAGGGGGCTTTCCCCAGGACCTCAGGGAGCACCAGCTTTCAGCTCAGACGAGAGCAGAATTCTCGCTTATTTTGGATAGTCAATAGCAGGGTCCAGATTGTCCTTAGGCTTCTGGCTCTAGGAGAAGAGGCTTGGGCTCTAGCGTTGCCAGCCTGGGAGGAGGAGGAGCAGGCCACCCGGCAGGCAGCCATTAGCTAAGCACAGGATCGCTCAGTGTGACTGGTTTCGCAGAGGATCCGGTCCTGAAGGGCGAGACCCTACGTGGAACTGGAGTCTTACTCTTGTCTTGGGCCTTGGGAACCTGAGCTTCCAGCACTGGAGCTAGTTACCTGAATCCCCAACAGACAGGTTTCACAGCTCATTCCACTGTCAGGGGTCCCGGGAGGGGGAGCCTTCCCACTAGCCCAGGCCTCTGGCTGCCTTCAACAAAGGCCTGTCTGTCAAGCAGCGGAAGAGATCACTTGCTTTCGTTTGCTAAAGCCAACTGTTTTAGCTGTTGAGTAGCCGTTCACTGCAGGCTCCTCTGGGGCCTGATCTCCCTGCACACAGAGCCCCCTTCTTCACCAGGGCCATCTACAGCATGTTGCGCTATAGGCATCCCCCAGCACGTTTAGAGGGTGGCATGTGGGTCCTGGGTCTTTGTCTCTACATGTTACATTTTCTGTCTTCACAGCTGTACTTGGGGTTTGGGCCTTTTCCTTGGTGCCTCCCCTTCCATGCCCTCCTCCTCTAGATCGTGAGGAGCCTGCTCTGGGCCTGGTGCTTCTCCCCTGGGTTCCAACGGGCCCAGAGAGAAGTCTCTTCCCCAAGGTGTTGAGTACGCTTGCTTACCTGAGGAATATTAGGTGTACTGTCTTTATTGTTGTCGCTGGTTTTGGGGTGCCCCAATGGCTTGTCCTCTTGGCAGGGAGGCACAATCTTTCTCATGTGGTGAGTTGGGGCGGGGGTCACTTCACCTGTGGGCTGTGCCCTCAGGGCCGTGTCACTCCTCTGTCCCCTTCCCTGGCTGTCCTAGAAACTATTGGCCCAAACTGTAGGAATGTGCCTTCTCTGTCCCCGATAAGCTATTTCCAGCCCCTTGAGCTGCAGGTAGAGTCCCCATCTCCGCTTTTCATATGCATGTGTGCCGGCTGACATGAGATGCCGGGGAACCTGTCATTTTGCTCTGGTGCTTGTGCTGCTGTGTCCTCCTCCCTCAGTGGCGGCGGCAGCAGCAGCAGCGGCAGCTTCTGCTCCGATGTCCGATCCCTGATGTATTTTCCTGAGCGTGGAAGGGAGGAGGGTGGGGAGGGGAGAAGGGGAGGGCCAGACATTATGAGAGCGAGTGAGGGCTGTGGGGCCGGCAGCAGGCAGCGTGGAGCCCAGGAGCCTCCAGACAAAGCACTCTGCTGCGGTTCTGTGAGCGCACACATCCACCGGGAGCAGGCAGGACCACAGCTGCCCGGCTGAGGGATTACAAGCAGGAATGAATCAGCAGCCGGGGACACTTGACTTCATGGGCACACAAGAGCCCGCCGCCTAGGTTCCCTGGAGCAGTCAGCCCCACTCAAGGGCAGGGGACCCAGTGTCTCGGAGTGCTGCCGCAGCGTGCATCGGGAGGCCGCCGGGTCCCTGACCACCAGCTCTTCTGCAGAGCCCAGGACAGTGGGTCACCCGGGGCTCCTAGACCACCAAGCCAGTTGGCCTTGACCTGCCTTGAAGGGCAGAAAGTGCCAGGAAAACAACAGAATGACTTTCACCGTGTCAAGAGTTCTCTGGAGGTGATGTTTTCGTAGTTAGTTCTTCTTTTTCCTCCCTTCCTCTTTTTTTTTTTTTCCTTCTTTTATCTGTTCTTGCCCAGGAGAACCAGAGAAGTAGGTGGGGGTTAAGCGCTCAGCTCAGGTCTGCAGGGAGGGCTGAACTCTGTTCCTCCCCACCCCACCACACGCCCCTGTCCGGCGCGAGGAGCAGAGCAGATACATGTCGTCCCTTCCCCACTTGCCCTCCGAGGAGAACGTCAAGGTCCGGAGACCCTGGGAAGACAGTTGCTGTCTTTATCACTCAGCCAAAGAGAGAACAGCGCCGAACGTGAATAGACTTAAGCCGCCACAGCTCAGCTGACAGAGGACCGCTTCCTTTTCCCCTTTCTTTCATCGGGCTGGGTTTTGTCTTCTTTAGCCAAGAACTGGATCTGCCTGCCTGCTTTCCCCCTGAGCAGGCAGGCGAGTCACAGGAACAGCCACTCTCAGAAGAGGAAAATGAATGCCCAGCCCCGACAAGAGAGCCCGGCCCGGGAAGGCAGCCCTTCGGACAGCGCCCTGGCGCGGGAGACGCCCCGCTCGCCAGCAGCCAGAGTCTAGCTGTGGACTGGGCTCCTGGCCCCGCCGGCCGCGCAGCCTGAAGCAGCGCGATGTCGCTGTCACAGCCGATCCACACCTGAGCCCGATTCCCGGGCCGCGGCCCAGGCGCTGCGCTCTTGGCCCCTCTGCCTTGAGCCTCTGAGCACAAAGGGCTGGTGGCCATGGTTTGCTTATTCCGGGACTGCTGGGGGAAAACAAGTAAAAGTCTCTTTTCTCCCCCTGCCGGGTTCTGTGCTGCTTGCATTGCATGTGCTGGGTCCCCGTGAACCGCCGCCACTGCTTCCCTCCCGGAGCCCTCGCTGTGTGCCTGTGTCCCTCAGCTGCATGAAGATGCGTGCGCCCTCCTGGCCAGTGTGTGCTGCAAGGTCACAGGACTTGCCCCTCGCCCACGGCCCCACGGGGGCTCCAGAAGTTGCATGGATGAGAGGAGCCCCCCAGCCCCTCTAGTGCCTATGGGAACAGACTTCCTGAAATACCTCAGTGTGAACGCTGACGAGGAACTCCCCTCCGACCTGTGGGCGGCAACCGTGCATGTGCCACCGCAGCCCCGGAGCAGCTCGGACTGAGGGGGGCGGGGGTGTGTGTGTGTGTGCAGCCCGGGCCGTCCTGCCCTTGGCCTGCACCCAGAAGAGGAGCTGCAGGTCCTCTGCCCTCTGGTCTCTTGTACATAGTCGGGCGGCTTTATGGTAATGACTATGATGTGGCAGTGCCATCTGTCTTCCTCAGAGTGCCGCTGCTACCGCCTTAATGGTTTTTCCCTTTTCAAGCGTCTGCCGGTTCCTCTCTCGTCAGGTTCACGGACGCTGGAGCAGAGCGTCGGGGAGTGGCTGGAGGCGGTGGGGCTGCAGCAGTATGAGAGCAAGTTGCTTCTGAATGGCTTTGACGATGTCCGCTTCCTGGTAAGTGCCCGGAGGCCTCCTCAGGGGTGGGGTGCAGCCCTGCGGAACCAGGCTTCTCTGATCTCCCGTGGCCCCTGCTGGAGTGTGGAACAGTACGTAGACCTGTATCCCAGAGAAGCGTGAAGGAAGTGACTTAGACATCCAGGAAATCAGCCGAGTGTCGTGTGCGTTCTTTTTAAACTCTGTTCCCTTCAACTCTGCTCCCCGAAACAGTTCGGTCGGACGGGCTCTTTACAAGTCTGTGTCCAGAGAGGTAGGGTACCTGACCACAGACCTTTGCCCCTTGCTGGTCCCCCTCTCAAGCTTCAGACCATGTGCTATGCAGTGAGGCCTCAAGGCCATCTTGTTCTGGGTCAGACACTGGGAGTTTTGATGGACGGGACAGCCCGGTTCCCTGTGGTGACTCCCTGTCCCATCTCTGTTGGATACCAGAAGTTTCCTTTATTGTCCAGCAGAAAGGCCTCTTCCCTGCCCAGCCCAGGCCAAGCATCCAGGGTGGGGAATGTGGCCATGCAGCCTCAGGGAATCCTAACCTCAGGGATGGCCCAGAGAAGAGGCTGAATTGGCGGTTGGAAGGATTGGTTGCTTTTCTGAGGTATCATTTTATACTGTCTTCTTATACAACGCAAGATGTCAAAGAAAAAGAAAAATGTAGGTGTTTTTCCTCAGGCTGCCTGTGGAGTCTGGGCCTGGCTGGGACCCTGGACTTAGGATCCAGTGCTCCTTCTGTCAGTCCAGAAAGTAGTTCAGGCAGGGTACCCATGAGCTTCCCTCTCCTGGAAGCCTTTCAGGAGATGGTGAAGTAAAGGAGTTGGGGTCAGTCAGCCCAGAGCTCCTAGCTCCAGTGTGGGTCCCTGTGGGTTTCCCACTGATAGGCTTGCATTTGGTGCTTTCTGAATAACAGCTTGCCTAGGGTGCTGGACTGTGGCTGCCGGGAGGAACCCTCACTAGGACAGGCTTGCCTTACCTGGGCCATCTCCATCTCCAGGGCAGACAGTAAAATCTATAGCAAACCACCCTTCCAAAGCCAGCTTAGGGCCAGTTATTTTTCAGCTTTTAAAAATCTTAGGTTTTTAAATAGTAATTTTTTTTAAGTTAACCTGGGTATATTTATGGCTCTTATAACTTAATCCCTGACTCCCCATGGTCCTGGGGGAAGGCCGACAAACCCAGGATAGAGGTGGGGGTTCAGCCAGTGAGCTGGGGCAGTTGGCCTCTGGTGCTGAGTGCTGAGGGACCTTCCCTTTCCCAGCACGCCCCCTACACCAGACCAGCTGTCAGACAGGCAAGGGGTGGGGGCTGTGGACTTCACAGTGTCCCCCTCCCTGTGCTTCAGTATTTTAGAGGCTGAGCTCTTGACTTCTCAACTCTCCTTCTGCTAATTTTGGAAAGGGTAAGGTTCCCAACCTTTGAACATCAAGACTCTTAAAACCGCTTCCCTGCCCCTCCCTGTGCTCATGCCCAGAAAGTAGCTAGGCGGGCATCTTGGTAAATCTGGCCCTGAGCCAAACATCCACACAGGATGCAGGGCCTCTATTAGAATGTGTCTCTTTCTTTCGGGGAAGGACACTCATCAAGGGAGGCCCGTAGCTCAGTCTTTCCAGGACCTTTTTTAGGCTCCTCCTGTTGCCCTGGGCACGAGCTGTTCCTTGTCACTGCTCTCTCGTTTCCGGCGGGGCACTGGCAGGTGGAGTCTGTACGGGAAAGAATGCTGATTACACCTCAGTTGAGCCTGTTACTTCTGATATCTAGAGTGGCCTGAGTAGCCATGCAAAGCATCCTGGGTAATTGCATGTAAATTGCCAGATGGACTGTAAGGCTAATTGTTTTAGCAACCAGAAAAAAGGAAAAAACATACAAGAAGGGGGCATTTTTATTTAGAAACATTCTCTCGGTGCATATGGTATAATTTCCGTAACGTTAGCTGTGGTATATGTCCATGTAGTTGGGTTTTCAGTACGTTGCAGATGTTTTTCTTGGTTCTGAAATGCCCGGGAGAGTCTTCTGCAAGATGCGCAAGTAGCTCCCAGGGAGCCGGGCTCTCGAGGTAGGAGGAACACATGGACACGGAGAGTGTTTCACAGACAATGCGCTGCTGTGGCATTCCCTGTGACGGGTCCCACAGTTCCGTGTCAGGGTGGGTGGGGCTCCACCATCGTGTGGGTCTCATCATCTGTACCTGATGCCCTTCCAGATAATCTTGGCCCTGATGCTCTCCAGTGACAGGGGATTCACCACTTTACAAAGTAGTAGCCGCTCGTTCTTTGTGTTGCTCAGGCTGAGCCAATATCTGTTTCCTTGTGGTTTCTGTCCCTTGGCCCCAGGTGTACCTTTTGGGCCACAGAGAACACACTTACGCCCCTTAGAAAATTGAAGACTTTCTGTCATGCCCTCCTGGGTCTTGTCTACGCCAACATCCTCTTATTCTGGGCTGTTCTTCCTGTGATGGGATGACTGAGCTGGACCAGCATTGCACCTTGAACTTTATTCACACTCCCTTGCCTATAGGCAGAAAGCACCTTCGATTTGGAGGGGTCACAGCCAGGGCAGTGGGGGCTGCCAGGTGTTCCCTCAGCTGATCCGGCCTACGCCAGGCCCTGGGAGACAGGGCCCAGGAATCTGGCTCCCGCCTCTGCCAGCCAGCCCAGCACGCTGGCTCATACATCACAGCCAGTTCCGTTTTTCACCCCGAGTCTTGTCCATGGGAAATGGGCTTTCTTAGGAGAAGGGAAGAAATGCATTTGATCAACACGGCAGGACAGTTGGTAGCTCCACGTGTGCTGGTGCAGGTCTCCCTGTCTAGGGACTGAACCTGACCTCCCTTCATGGGTTGGCAGTTGAGTCAGTGATGGTGCTCCACATGCTGGAGTGTTAGGTGGATGTTAAAAAAATTTTTTGAGGGCGCCTGGGTGGCTAGATGGTTAAGCGTCTGCCTTCGGCTCAGGTCATGATCCCAGGGTCCTGCGATCGAGTCCCGCATCGGGCTCCCTGCTCCTTGGGAGCCTGCTTCTCCCTCTGCTTCTCTCTCTCTCTCTCTCTCTCTCTCTCTCTCTCTGTCTGTCTGTCATGAATAAATAAATAAAATCTTTTAAAAAAATGTTTTTGAGGAATGTCTGATTGGAGAAATGCTCACCTTGGATTGTTGAGTGAAGAAATCAAGACACAAAAATCCATATGCAACATGATCTTAATTTTCAAAAAAGAAAACCTCTCTGCACAAGAGGTGCAAGGGGGTCAGCCAAAATGTTTCCGGTGGTTATCTAAGGAGGACTGTAGGTGGCTTACTCTCTTTTTTGGAATGTAATGGGTTTTCTGCATTTCCTACAATGAATGAATGGATCTGAAGTCAGAAAAGCAAATAATGCATGTGTCTGAAGGAACTTGATGGTCCGGCTGGGAAAACAGGCACATAAAGCAATAAAAACAATAGAGCAGGCAAGTGTTAAGTGCTGTGGTGAGGCGTGTAGGTGCTGCAGGAACACGGGAGGAGAACCCACCTTCCCGATTGTGGACCGCGTGCTGGGCACTGAGCTGGCCCACGGCTCTGGGCGTATTGTTGGTCGAGTCTCAGATGGGGCTGTGAGGCCCAGAGGGCAGAGGCACTGCCAGTAAGTGGCAGGCCAAGATGCTAGCCCAGATCTGTGCAACTTTGAACTTCTGGGTCACACTTGCTGTCTGAGGGTTTGCCGGGTCTGTGGTACTCAGAGAGCCCACGCACAGAGGAGGGATGAGTGTGGGGCCTGAGCGGTCTGCAGAGAGTAAGGAGGTCGGTATAGTGAGTATAGTGAGGGGGCAGGGCCTTGGCCAGGCAGGAGAGGTGGGCTGGGCTTGACTGTGAGTGGCCTTGATGGCCATGTTATGGGGGGCCCTCTGGCTGTAGCCCTCAGGAGGCAGAGAGCCCCTGGGGTCGGGCTGCACCTTAGATGACGGGGCACGGCGGGGAGCGGGCATGTGGTGGGGGCTCCGCTGGGCGGACAGACAAACGGAACAGGGAAATGAGTCTGGCAGCCGGCTCAGGATGGGTTAGAAACAGACTCAGCCGCGAGCCCGACGCCTCTTAGAGCCAGCCTCGTCACGGAGGCCTCTTGCTCCTCCTGTCAATTTATTTCTCCAGAGGCTTCTGCCACATGCAGCTAGGCTCCTACTGTTTTCCTCTCTGTTTCTGAGACCAGGCCAGCTTGTGCCTGTGTGTTGGGGAGGCATGACAGGTGAAGAGGAGTGAGCTCTGAGAGCTGAACGGCACAGGCTCGGGGAGGAGGTCCTTCTTCATTGGCCTCTATGAAGTTTCCAGCCAGGTCCCCAGACCCCGGAGCTTCTCTCCCTGCTCTGTCCCCGGATTAGCTTCTCACTCGATTTGGAGGGGGCATTCTGTGCACAGGGAGGCCATGCCCTTGGGTTCCCACCCTGACTTCCCGTGCTCCCTCCCTTTGCCTTCTTCCCTCTCAGGCTTCAAGGGGCCTCTTTTGGCCTGGGCCTGCTGCGGCACTGCTGTCTAGACGCCTCCCCCCTGCCTCGACTTCTCCAGCTGCCCTAGCCCCCTCTTCTCCCCACAGAGTGCTCTAACTGCTGGCTGTTCTGTCAGAATTTTCTGTGTCCCAGTGCGAAGCAGGGCCCGATAGGGAGATTTTCCTCAACTAGGGGCATTCGAGGGTCCATGGAGCTGGGAGCTGGGCTTTGAAAGGAATACTCTCAGACAGTGTGGATCCTGCCTCCTGGGCTGACTCATTTCTGTGGTCACTTAACTCCTCAGGGGATCTCAGGGGTGGATGCACCACCAGATGCTTCCTTGTCTCTGCTGGGCCCTTTTACCTTGAGACAAGCAGGCTCACTTTGGGCTTCTTTCCAGGCCATGCACTCTCTTGCTCTCCCTCTTCCTTTCTGTCTGCCAGACAGTGTGGAGTTCTTCAGGGTCGGGGAGATGGCAGCTGGAGTCCCACTGTGGTTTCCCCTGGTACTGCTCTGGCCTTCTCCAGTCCCCTTGACAGTGAAAGGAACGGAGA